ACAAACTTTAAGAGCGCCTGTTGAGATTTGTGTCCATTTGTGAGACCTGGATGGTGATTGGCAAACAATTTCAACCCAAAGTGGTCAACACCACTTGGCAAAACCAGCAGCATGACACCAGTTATCTTTTTAGTTGTATGTATGGGTGGCATTCTGGCTACCACTGGTGACCACCAACAGAAGGGTTCCCCCCCCCCAAAGATCAAATTCAACCCAAAGTCGTCAACACCACTTGACAAAACCACCAGTTATCGTTTTAGCTGTCTGTAAAGGTGGCGTTCTGGCCACCACTGGTGACCACCAATAGAAGGGGTTCCCCCCCCCCCCCAAAGACCCCAGATGAATTGGTTGTAGCATGGGTTCCGTGAAACCTGAAAATTTATTTTAGGTGTTCCCCTGGGATAAAATGGTTGATAAAGACTGCCTTATGGCCAGAGGTTCATGGACACCTGATGTCACACTCAGTGGTATTTTTGTTTTTGTGCTGCCCTAGGCAACACAAAAATTGTCCTTCTCCCCCCAATAATGAGAGAGAGGGAGATAGAGCCAGGAATGACAATCGGACACCCTCCAGCATCCCCCAGCATGTTGCAGCTGACTCATCTGCTCTACACCATCATTCCATCATTCTCCGTTCCAGCTCTCACCGGCACAGCTCGCAGAATGACATCCACCTGGCAATGATGAGGACTGGGAAGGAGAGTCTGACACCATCCAGCTGCCTCTCATGGATCCCAGCTCCTGCTGTTCCTCTACCTCCACTGCTCCTCAGTCACCGGCTGCCACTGTGTCACTTCTGCCGCCAGGGGAAAAAATGTCTTGTTTGCCTCACTGAACAATACGCCCCTGGTCACACCTGCATGAGCTTGTTGGACTTTCCATTCTAAAGCCATGACCAGTAATATGGAGTTGCTCCCTATGTGTCTAGAGCAGGGGTCCTCCAGCTGTTGAAATACCACACGTCCCATCATGCCTCTGCCTCTGGAAGTCATGCCTGTGGCTGTCAGAGTCTTGCAAGGCCTCATGGGACTTGCAGTTCCTCAACACCTGGAGGGCCATAGTTTGGAGACCCCTGGTTTAGAGCCTCCATTCTTCTGCAAAATGGAAATTTGTCCTCATTTCTGAGGTCGGGTACTGATGTTGGATGACAAGACCTGGCTCACAATTAGTGTTCCAATTTGTCACAAAGGCTCCACCACACCAAACTGGTCAAACCATGACTATGAATCAGGTTTTTTATCGAAACGCATAAGCTGCTGTAACTTGAACGCTGTACCCCTTATGTACTTTTATTGGGAGAACGAGTTGCCGGCTCTTCACCTTATACTCGTAAACTGGTCAAACCATGTCTTTATGGAGCTGGCTTTCTACACAGGGACAGTCATGGTGGAGAAGAAAAAGGTCTTCACCAAACCGTTACCACAAGTTTGGAAAAGAACAATTGCCTACAATGTCCTTGAGTTCAGGTGTCTCCAGTGACGGGTCTTGGTAATACTACATCATACAAACTCATCATAGACTTTTGTGCTCTTCCATCCTTGTGGTAACAGTTTGGTGAAGACCCTTTTATGTTCCTGCATAACTGTGACCCTGTGTAGAAAGCCAGCTTCATAAAGATATGGTTTGACCAGTTTGGTGTGGAGGAACTCAAGTGTCCTGCACAGAGCCATGACCTTAACTGTACCCACTCAGCCAAAAAAAACATTTATGAGGTCAGGTACTGATGTTGGATGAGAAGACTTAGCTCACAATCGGCCTTTATCCAAAGGTGTTCAGTAGGTTGAGGTCAGGGCTCTGTGTAGGACACTCGAGTTCCTCCACACTAAGCTGGTCCAACCATGTTTTTATGGAGCTGTTGGTTGAGAAGACCTGGCACATTCCAATTCATCCCAAAGATGTTCAGTAGGGTTGAGGTCCAGGCTATGTGCAGGACACCCGAGTTCCTCCACATTAAGCTGGTCCAACTATGTCTTTATGGAGATGTTTTGTTAAGAAAACCTGGCACATTCCAATTCATCCCAAAGGTGTTCAGTAGGGTTTTTGGTCCGTGCTCTGTCCAGTACACTCGAGTTCATGCACACTAAGCTGGTCCAACCATGTCTTTATGGAGTTGTTGGTTGAGAAGACCTGGCACATTCCAATTCATCCCAAAGGTGTTCAGTAGGGTTGAGGTCCAGGCTCTGTGCAGGACACCCGAGTTCCTCCACATTAAGCTGGTCCAACCATGTTTTTATGGAGATGTTGGTTGAGAAGACCTGGCACATTCCAATTCATCCCAAAGATGTTCAGTAGGGTTGAGGTCCAGGCTCTGTGCAGGACACCCAAGTTCCTCCACATTAAGCGAGTCCAACTATGTCTTTATGGAGTTGTTGGTTGAGAAGACCTGGCACATTCCAATTCATCCCAAAGGTGTTCAGTAGGGTTGAGGTCCAGGCTCTGTGCAGGACACTCGAGTTCCTCCACATTAAGCTGGTCCAACTATGTCTTTATGGAGTTGTTGGTTGAGAAGACCTGGCACATTCCAATTCATCCCAAAGATGTTCAGTAGGGTTGAGGTCAGGGCTCTGTGAAGGCCACTTGAGTTCCTCTAAACCAAACTCATCAAACCATGTCTTTATGGAGCTGGCTTTGCACACAGGGCGCAGTCATACTGGAACAGAAAAGGGTCTTCACCAAACTGTTACCACCAGGTTGAAAGAACGCAATTGTCTACAATGGCTTTGTATGGTGGAGTACAAAACCAATAAATACAAACCTTCATATGTGACCTCTACGGTTCAACTGTATTAATCATGTGAATACCTGGAAGCATGTATATGAAGTACATGAATGTATTTCATGCCAGAAAGAGGAATCAAAATCAATTAAAATTGGCCTTCAACCTGCACAATACCTGTTTTGTACATCTCACTAGCACAATAGTATTCAATGTATGAAGTGCCAAGGTTCTTTGATTAGACATTTTAATAACATTTGTTTTATATTCATTTTGCGCACCAATACAATAGCATCACACACACTTCACTCCAGAACCCCCAACAGTTCTGAAAGGACTCTTAAGATAAATGTGATATTGAAAAAAAAAAAAAAGTTCTCAACAAGCGTAAGGGTCAAAGTTTCACAATGTCCGGTAATGTAGGTCAGATCGATGAGAGGAGATCTCACAATAAATGAAGGCAACCTCCATCAATGTTCTATAGTAGTACCATTCCACAGGAAAATGGAGATATTCTGCCATTGTATATAAAATGTATCCAATGTACCAATAGAAGGGGTTTTTTTCTCCCTCAAAGACCCCAGATGAATTGGTTGTAGCCTGGGTTCCTTGAAACCTGAACATGATTTTAGGTGTTCCCCTGGGATCAAAAGGTTGATAAACACTGCTATATGGCCAGAGGTTCATGGACACCTGATGTCACACTCAGTGGTGTTTTCATTTTTGTGCTGCCCTAGGCAACACAAAAATTGGTCTTCTCCCCCCCCCCCCCCCCCAATAACGAGAAAGAGGGAGAGAGAGCCAGGAATGACAATCGGACACCCTCCAGCAGCCCCCAGCATGTTGCAGCTGACTCATCTGCTCTACACCATCATTCTCCGTTCCAGCTCTCTCCGGCACAGCTCGCAGAATGACATCCGCCTGTCAATGATGAGAACTGGGAAGGAGAGTCTGACACCATCCAGCTGCCTCTCATGGATCCCAGCTCCTGCTGTTTCTCTGCCTCCACTGCTCCCCAGTCACCGGCTGCCACTGTGTCAATTCTGCCACCCAAGGCAAACGCCTTGTTTGCCTCGCTGAACAATACGCCCCTGGTCACCCCTGCATGAGCTTGTTGGACTTTCCATTCCAAAGCCATGACCAGTAATATGGAGTTGCTCCCTATGTGTCTAGAGCCCTCCAGCTGTTGAAATACTACACGTCCCATCATGCCTCTGCCTCTGGGAGTCATGCCTGTGGCTGTCAGAGTCTTGCAAGGCCTCATGGGACTTGCAGTTCCTCAACACCTGGAGGGCCATAGTTTGGAGACCCCTGGTTTAGAGCACCCTCCATTCTTCTGCAAAATGGAAATTTGTCCTCATTTCTGAGGTCGGGTACTGATGTTGGATGAGAAGACCTGGCTCACAGTCAACGTTCCAATTTGTCCCAAAGGCTCCACCACACCAAACTGGTCAAACCATGACTATGAATCAGGATTTTATCGAAACGCGTAAGCTGCTGTAACTTGCACACTGTATATAAAAATGTATCAAATGTACTCAGAGTGGTAGATCTCCATATCCTTATCAGTTTCTGTATGTTCACTTCTACCAGAGATGCTGCAGAGCAAACAGATGTTCTCCTCAAAAAAAGAGAACAGTTCCTTCCACTGACACCAACAACGGGGCAGAATTCCTTCCAATGACACCAATGATGGGGCATTATTCCTCCTACTGACACCAAAGAAAGAGCACAGTTCCTTCCACTGACATCAACATTGTGGCATAATTCCTTCCACTGACACCAATGGCAGGGCACTGTTCCTGCCACTGACTCCAAAGAAAGTGCAACGCAAAGGGCAAAATTCCTTCCATTAACACAAACAATGGGGCACTGTTCCTTCCACTGACACCAACAAAAGGCAGAATTCCTTCCAATGACACCAATGATGGGGCACTAGTTATCCCCAGTGACACCAAATATAGGACAATGTTTGCTACCACTGTATGCCAGGACATTTTCTACTTCCACTGGCCCTAGTCCAGCCCCCCTAAAGTCTGAAGGACAATAAGCTGGCCCTTTGTTTAGAAGGTTTGGAGACCCCTGCCATATACCACCGTTGAGGCGGCCACTCTCTCCCGTTCCCTAAAAGGGAGTCTATCACATCGCCAGGTAATGGATAATAGCACCTGTATGAACTGATATCTGTACAGTTCAATCCCCTCCATATCATGTGATTCAAGTGTTCCAATCCCCTCCATATCATGTGATTCAGGTGCTCCAATCCCCTCCATATCATGTGATTCAGGTGCTCCAATCCCCTCCATATCATGTGATTCAGGTGCTCCAATCCCCTCCATATCATGTGATTCAGGTGCTCCAATCCCCTCCATATCATGTGATTCAGGTGCTCCAATCCCCTCCATATCATGTGATTCAGGTGCTCCAATCCCCTCCATATCATGTGATTCAGGTGTCCCAATCCCCTCCAAATCATGTGATTCAGGTGTCCCAATCCCCTCCATATCATGTGATTCAGGTGTTCCAATCCCCTCCCAATCATGTGATTCAGGTGTTCCAATCCCCTCCATGGACACAGGTGTATACAATCAAGCCCCTAGGCATGCAGACGGCTTCTACAAACATTGGTGAAAGAATGGGTCGCTCTCAGGAGCTCAGTGACTCCAAGCGTGGTCCCGTGATAGGTGGCCACCTGGGCAATAAGTCCATCCGTGACATTTCCTGGCTACTAAATATTCCACGCTCAACTGTTAGTGGGATTATAACCAAGTGGAAGCCACTGGGAACAACAGCCACTCAGCCACCAAGTGGTAGGCCACGTCACATGACAGGGCGGGGTCAGCGCATGCTGAAGCGCACAGTGCGCAGAAGTCGCCAACTGTCTGCAGAGTCAATAGCTAAAGACCTCCAAACTTGGTTTGGCCTTCAGATGAGCCCAACAACAGTGCGTAGAGAGCTCCATGGAATGGGTTTCCATGGCCGAGCAGCTGCATCCAAGCCTTCCATCACCAAGTGCAATGCAAAGCGTCTGATGCTGTGGTGTAAAGCACGCCGCCACTGGACTCTGGAGTATTGGAGGCGTGTTCTCTGGAGTGGCCAATCACACTTCATTGTCTTGAAATCCGATGGACGTGTTTGGATTTGGTGGTTGCCAGGAGAACAGTACTTGCCTGACTGCATTTTGCCAAGTGTAAGGTTTGGTGGAAGGGGGATTATGATTCGGGGTTGTTTTTCAGGGGTTGGGCTTGGCCCCCTAATTCCAGGGAAGGGAACTCTTAAGGCGACATTTTGGACAATTTCATGCTCCCAACTTTGTGGGAGGAGTTTGGGGATGGCCCCTTCTTGTTCCAACATGACTGCGCACCAGTGCACAAAGCAAGGTCCATAAAGACATGGAGGAGCCAGTTTGGGGTGGAGGAACTTGACTGTCCTGCACAGAGTCCTGACCTCAACCCCATAGAACACCTTTGGGATGAATTAGAGCGGAGACTGCGAGCCAGGCCTCCTCCCCCGACATCAGTGCCTGACCTGACAAATGTGCTTCTGGAAGAATGGTCCAACCTTCCCATAGACACCCTCCTAAACCTTGTGGACGGCCTTCCCAGAAGAGTTGAAGCTGTTATAGGTGCAAAGGGCGGGGCCAACTCAATATTGAACCCTACGGACTAAGACTGGGAGGTCATTAAAAGTCATGTGTGTTGAAAGGGCGGGGCCAACTCAATATTGAACCCTACGGACTAAGACTGGGGGGCCATTAAAGGTCATGTGTATGGAAAGGGCGGGGCCAACTCAATATTGAACCCTACGGACTAAGACTGGGAGGCGATGAAAGGTCATGTGCATGAGAAGGCCGGCGTCCCAATACTTTTGGCAATATAGAGTGTGTTTTGCAGGGGCATGTGGTGTCTTGTTATGTTCCAGTATTTGGGGCAATATAGTGTATCTTCAGTGTAAAGAAGAACAGGGAGTCCCGGATGTGAGGATTCGCCCCCCACAGAGCCCTGATCTCACCATCATGGAGCCTATCTGGGATGACATGAAGAGACAGAAGGATTGGAGGCTGCCAAAATCCACAGAAGATCAGAATATTGAACCCTACGGACTAAGACTGGGGGGGCCATTAAAGGTCATGTGCGTGGAAATGCCGGCAGCCCAATACTTTTGGAAATATAGTGTATATAGGGTACTGAGATATAAGACTCTCATTGGTGCATCCAGGGGTGGACTGACAACTCATGGGGCCCCCGGCCATAGGGGATCATGGGGCCCCTGTGACCTCGCCCACACTCAAACCACAGCCAAAAAAGCCTGTGAAAGGTACCAGGGGCATCTCATGGGGCCCCCTACTGACCCTGGGCCCTCGGGCAGTGCCAGTGTACCCGAATGGTCAGTCCACCCCTGGGTGCATCGGATACTTTACATACATCATGTATCAGTGGTGGTATATCAACATGTAGCTGTAGAAAGGAAGAGTGATGGAGGTTATTTATTATGGATACCAGTGAGATCTCACTGATAGACGGTGACAACCCTGTTGAAGACTGTAAAGCCATAAAGAACCCACGTGGCAGCCACTCTCCCATCCCCTAGAAGGGAGTCTCAGGATACACGCTTCCATATAGAAATGATATTAGTATACATATATAGATTATTGGTGACATCTGCATTGCATTCTTTATAGACTGTATAGATATTAGTACATACATATTTATTTATCCTTTACCTGGTGCATGTGACTGACTCCCTTCTATGGTAAGGGAGGGTGGCCTCCGCACGGGTGTCACGTGGAATTACAATACTCAATAGGATTGTTACCAGGTATATGTGGAGGATTGGGGGAACATGTGTACAGCGCACAATCTCCAGTATATGAGTATACACCGAAATGGATACAACCGTACTAGGATACATCCCTCCAGGGGCGGACTGACAACTCAAAGGGCCCCCGGGCAATAGAGGATCATGTGGCCCCTGTGTCCTTGCCCAAACTCAAAAAAACCTATGAAAAAGGTACCAGGGGTATCTCATGGGGCCCCCTACTGACTCCGGGCCCTCGGGCAGTGCCCGCGTTTCCAAATGGTCAGTCCACCCCTGCATCTGCATCCCTCTCAGTGCATTGGATACATTTCATATACAAGACATATAATAGACTGTGCACTCCAGAGCAATGAGAAGCTCTGCTGACTTCCATCATCCAATCATGTGCAAGCAAAAATGCATTTTTTTAAAAATTTTCCTTGCATGTGATTGGGTATTCTTTGAAATGTGATGCCTCACCTGCAGGGCCGGTGCTAGACTATTTTGCGCCCTAGGCAAGACCAGCTACTTGACCCCCCTACCACCACCACCACCACCAAAAAAAAATTCCTAAACAGTAGAAAATATGAAATCAACAAAACATGAATCTGCTAAATTTATTTTTTAATTTGCAAAAATAAGTGCCACCAGCACCAATATTAACCACTTCCAGTCCGGACACTTTCCCCCCCTTCCACTCCGAACACTCCCCCCCCCCTTCCAGTCCGGACACTTTCACCCCTTCCAGTCGGACCTTCCCCAGTCCCCCCCCTCCTGACACTTTCCCCCCCTTCCACTCCGAACACTCCCCCCCCTCCAGTCCGGACACTTTCACCCCTTCCAGTCCGGACACTTTCACCCCCTTCCAGTCCGGACACTTTCACCCCCCTTCCAGTCCGGACACTTTCACCCCCCTTCCAGTCCGTACACTTTCACCCCCCTTCCAGTCCGGACACTTTCCCCCCCCTTCCAGTCCGGACACTTTTACCCCCTTCCTATCCAGGACACTTCCCCCCCTTCCAGTCCGGACACTTTCACCCCCTTCCAGTCCGGACACTTTCACCCCTTCCAGTCCGGACACTTTCCCCCCCCTTCCACTCCGAACACTCCCCCCCCCTCCAGTCCGGACACTTTCACCCCCTTCCAGTCCGGACACTTTCCCCCCCTTCCACTCCGAACACTCCCCCCCCTCCAGTCCGGACACTTTCCCCCCTTCCAGTCCGTCCGGACACTTTCACCCCCTTCCAGTCCGGACACTTTTACCCCCTTCCTATCCAGACACTTCCCCCCCTTCCAGTCCAGACACTTTCCCCCCCTTCCAGTCCGAACACTCCCCCCCTTCCAGTCCGGGACACTTTCACCCCTTCCAGTCTGGACACTTTCACCCTCTTCCAGTCCGGACACTTTCCCCCCCTTCCTATCCAGACACTTCCCCCCTTCCAGTCCAGACACTTTCCCCCCCTTCCAGTCCGAACACTCCCCCCCCCTTCCAGTCCGGACACTTTCACCCCTTCCAGTCTGGACACTTTCACCCTCTTCCAGTCCGGACACTTTCACCCCCCTTCCAGTCCGGACACTTTCCCCCCCCTTCCAGTCCGGACACTTTCCCCCCCTTCCCAGTCCGGACACATTCCCCCCCTTCCAGTCCGGACACTTTCCCCCCCTTTCAGTCCAGACACTTTTACCCCCTTCCTATCCAGACACTTCCCCCCCCTTCCAGTCCTGACACTTTCACCCCCTTCAAGTCCGGACACTTTCACCCCCTTCCAGTCCGGACACTTTCACCCCTCTTCCAGTCCGGACACTTTCCCCCCCTTCCAGTCCGGACACCCCCCCTTCCAGTCTGGACACTTTCACCCCCTTCCAGTCCGGACACTTTCACCCCCTTCCAGTCCGGACACTTTCACCCCCCTCCAGTCCGGACACTTTCAGTCACCCCCTTCCAGTCTGGGCATTCCCCCCCCCTTCCAGTCAGGACACTTCCCCCCCCTTCCAGTCCGGACACTTCCCCCCCCTTCCAGTCCAGACACTTTCCCCCCTTCCAGTCCGGACACTTTCACCCCCCTCCAGTCCGGACACTTTCACCCCCTTCCAGTCTGGGCATTCCCCCCCCCCTTCCAGTCAGGACACTTCCCCCCCCTTCCAGTCCGGACACTTCCCCCCCCCTTCCAGTCCGGACACTTTCCCCCCCTTCCAGTCCGGACACTTTCACCCCCTTTCAGTCCGGACACTTTCACCCCCTTCCAGTCCGGACACTTTCACCCCCTTCCAGTCCAGGCCAATTTTCAGTATATCTCATTTTGTAAAGCACTGCACACTGTTGTTGCTATATAAATCCTGTATAATAATAATTTGAAATGTATTTCTAAAAATATTTTTTCATATATTTTGTAATAAAAAAGCATTTCAACTTGCAGCGTATGTATGTGTGTATATTATATACCGTATAATTTTTATATATATTTTATTTTTATTATTTTTTTTTAAATATATTTTTAAATATTTTGAATATGGCCAAAATTGTAGCATTTCACATGTATGTCAATATATTTGGGAAGAATATTTTTAAAATATATTTCAAATACATTTTTCTTCCATATGGGAAAGGCCAGGTAAAGGCAAACAAAGGGCCACGTTTCACCTGCGAGCCACAGTTTGGAGACCCCTGCTTTGGCTCAAATGCCCTTTGAAAGTGCAACTGCCCTTGTTCAAAGTACGCAGTCTAGTTGCCTTTAATAAATCAACCCCATTGCATCCAATTGTTCAGTATCTCCATTTATCTGTGGAAAGGTACATTGACGACGTTTACCTTCATTTATTGTGGATACCATTGAGATCTCCTTGACATTATCCATATTACTGGACACTGTGAAAGTCTGAAGCTTTATTCTTGATGAGAAGTTTTTCTTTTTTTTCCAATATTACATTTATGATAAGAGTCCTTTCAGGATTGTTGGGGTTTCTGGATCTGAAGGATAAAATATGTAATGCTATTCTATTGAAAACACAAAGTGAAGATGAAACAAAAGTTATTATAATGAGTGATAAAAGAGCCTAGGTACTTCTGTCTCTTTGTACATCGAATAAATGTTGCGCTAGTGGGGAGCAGAAACCAGATATTGTGCAGTTTGAAGGACGATTTTTAATTGATTTTGAATTCCTTTCTCTAATAAAAATACATAT